TAGTTAAAATGTTAGGTCATTTGAAGAACAAACACTACTATCTGAAAAGAAATGATGGGGAATGTAGATTTCTTTTTTAAAAAGGGAAATGTGATACCAGGGTTAAGTGCTTCATAATTTCCTTTTTCACAAACCTAAACTTTATGTTATTACCTTATTGTACCTCTCAGAATTTCTCAACTCACCAAACAAAGGATAGAAAATACACAACTACAAAAGACTTTAAATCCCTTTTCTGTATCAGAACACAATACCAGCTCTTTGTTCCATAATAGGACGAATCCTTCTCTTTGAGTTGCAGAAAGAACAAAATCATGGTTCTTAACTTGCACTTAAGTTCATCAGGCAGCTCTGACTGCATTTGAGGCAATTTAGCAATAATAAGTGAGATGCAGACACTCAACTCAATTTCTAGATTGGCAGAGATAGAAACTTTGAAATGTTTGGACATTTCATTTAAAAAGAAAAAAATTCGAAATATCTAACACTGTTTATACTCAAAATCTTAAAGTATATTACATAAATGTGTAGATGCCTAGAGACTTCTGTACATCTAGACCTTGGAGTCAGCCATCTTAATGCAATTTCCTTCCTCTGGGACAGTGTGTGGAATGAGTACTCACTTTAGAAAAATATGGACCTGGATTTGAAGGCTAACTCCATCTTTTTTTACCACTTATGAGTCCTAGGGCAAGTTAGCTTATCTCTCTAAGATTTTAACTTCTTCATCTAGAAAAAGAAGATAATTGGATTATTCTATTTACTTAGGTCAGCATCTAGAAGAGGGTGGGTGTTTAACAAATGTGAGACCCCCAGTTAGCAGTGCAGAGAAAGAGTCTTAAAGGTAGTTACTGGGAGAATAAGATATTTTGAAATTGACATCACATAACAGAGAAGAAACACAAAATTCTTTGTAAATTGATCACATATTATTGCATATTGTGATTTGCATCATCCATTCTTTTTTTGTGTGTTTGTTTGCTTTTTCGTACTGGGGATTAAACCAGGGTGATTTGCCACTGAGCCACATCTCCAGACCTTTTTATTTTGAGACAGGATCTCACTAAGTTACTTAGGGCCTCATTAAATTGCTGAGGCTGGCTTCAAACTCAAAATCCTCCTCAGCCTCCCAAGCAGCTGAAATGACAGGCGTGCTACCCATTATTAAAACAAGGAAAGTCTTGGCATTACCAACTCTATTAATGTAACTTGTGATTATTACACCTGGGGCAAGGTATGGAGGTATGGACTTTTTAAAATTTTATTTATCTCAGATGAAAAGTATTCCAGGTTTCTGCAAATTCAAATATTAGGATGGACTTTGGAAACTTCCATCAGTTATCCTTGCAACTGAGCTATGCCAAATAAAATCTTAATCTCAGAATTTAGCTTCATTTCTACAGCTATTGCTATTCACATAAGTTCTTTTCCGCGTTGTATGGCTCAGGAATAAGCAAATTCTTCTAGTCTTGTCTCCTATTTTTGTGTTCTCTAGAGAAACCCAGATATCTGTTTTCACATTTGTTGGACCAGCAATCGTGGTCTGGTGTGCTTTGTGTAACTCCAGCATAACTTTCCATGGAATCCTTGTGGCTAGTTCTTAATTTGTGTTTCCCAGGTATTTTTGGTAATTTTATCAAACTGCTTCCCAATTCTTAATGACATACACAGACAATGTGGTAACCCAAGTCTGACATGCCTAGAACTCATGGCCCTTAGCCAACTTCTATGGATGGGAACTTCACAAACTTAAAAAAAAAAAAAAAAAAAAACTAGGCCTTGATTCTTCAGGGATGGAAATCAGAGGAAAAGAGGATGTGAGCTAAATTATTTCATGGATAATAATCTTTCCTGTAATCAGCACTAAACCACACACTCCTTGTAGTCTGAGGTTTAACTGGAAATCATCCATTAGAATAATATGTAAAACTACTATTTTTTCCTCATTAAAATGTTTCATTTAGCTAACATTCTTGAGGAATGAGGAATTTTACTTAAATATTTCACAGCCAACCAAAGTTTATCCCCCTAAGTGCTAAAAATTCCCATTTTAAATGGGAACTTTATTAAAAAAATTACTATTTCCCTGCCACTCTAAATGGAGTGCACTAAGCATAATTTTACCTTGTTTTAACAAATATATAGTTATCTTTTATACTGCAATATATTGATGACCTCCAGACCTTTCATACTGAAGAGACAGTCTGCTAATGCAAAGTCTCCCTATGACTGTTTTTATTTTATCTATCTATCTATCTATTCATTGGTGGTACTTGGGATGGAACCCAGAGGTACCCAACCACTGAGCTACATTTCCAACACTTTTATTTAGTTATTTATTTTGAGATAGAGTCTCACTAAATTGATGAGGCTGGCCTTGAACTTGAGATCCCCCAGTTGCTGGGATTACAGGTGTGCATCACTGCATCCAGTCAGTTTAGACTTTTTGAAAATGAGTTACTACAAACATGTGGACCTTTCAAAATGTCTACAATTCCACTTGATATATAAAAGGCATTAAATTGGCTTGATTTTTAGAAAAGCAAAATATTGCTTACAAATTAGCAATCTAAGTCTTTAGAACACAATGTTTTGTGGATTTTTTCCCCTGATTTGTTTCATGGTACTGGGGATTGAACCCAGGGCCCTTGTACATGCACTCTATCACTGAGCTACCTCCCCATACTTACCTTTTGTTTTGGTACCAGGGATTGAATCCACAGCACTTAAGCACTGAGCTGTATCTCCAGCGCGCCTTTTTTTCTTTCTTTTTTCTTTTCTTTTTTTTTTTAATGTTTTGTTTTGAGACAGGGTTTTGCTAAGTCCTTAGGGCCTTCAAAATTGCTGAAGTTGGTCTTTAATGTGCAACTCTTGTTTCAACCTCCCAAGTCCCTGGGATTACAGGTGTGTGCCACGGCCGCTGGTCCTATACCCTTTTATTTTTTGTTTTGAGACAGGGTCTCACTAAATTGCCCAGGCTGGCTTTGCACTTGTGATTCTCCCGCCTCAGCCTCCTGAGTTGCTGGGATTACAGGTGTGCATCACTATGCTTAACTACAAAGGTTTATTTAAAAAAAAAAAAAACTTATTAGAAGAAGAGCAGAGTCTATGATTAATATATTTATTAGGCTATCTTAAAAAAATGCAAGCAGTTTTAAAAGGCCCCTGAAGAGGAATATAACAGCATATCAGTCCAGAAGTTTCTACCTTGCCCCTGGCCACTCTGCTATGGGAACTTCAGGCAGTTGGGTGGGTGAGGACACCCGGTAATAGCAGTGGGAGAAGGTGGAAACTGTTGCAAGCCCTGAACCTGATTCTAGCGTGTGTAGCTACCTGGATCAGAAGGTCTCCCTGTACTCAGCCCATTCTACTCTCTCTGCACTGGACAGATCACTAATAAATCTCTTGTTGTCCACAAGGAACAAGGCAGTGTCCTGGGAACTGTTAACTTCACTTTCTACAATTATTTCTCTCTTATTCAAGTTGCTTACAATTTCTAAAAGAAAAAAAATGGATATGGTTAAGTAAGCAAGGAAGAACAAGTTTAAATCTCATTTTACTGCCCTGATCATTCAGTAGTGTCTTCTTTTGCTTAATTTATGTTTTTATAGTTTCCTGCATATGGTACGCTGAGATATAATGGGTTTTAATGCAGCACGGGCGGGGTGGGCTGGGGGAGTGAGATCCGGAGAAGCTGAGTTGAAATGGACACATTGCTTTCACCTATCAAGCTTTAGGGGTTTTCCAGACTGGAATTTTCCTGGCTTTCATAGTTTTTAAGGGCTTGGCTTTTATTCTGAACTCAAATCCCATCCCATCTCCCCAAACGCACACGCATACCCACAGGCACACGCATGCACACACAGGGTTATATAATGTCACCAAAACAGACAAGGAAGGGAAGGCAAGATTAATAGCAAGAAGAAGGGTGATTTCAGCACGTTGTATTTACACAGCGTTTTCCTTCAAGACCGAAGAGCTCCACACAGATGCTATCTCACTAATCCTCAATGGGGCTTTCTCAAAGAGCCTTTATCCAGGCTCTCTCAATGGAGAAAGTGAGGCTGGGCCAGCAGAGGTGGTTAAGTCTCCGGTAGAGGTGGAAACATAACCCAAGGCTCCTGACGCACAGGCCATTGTCCCTTTCACTCAACCACGCCACCTTCCTGTCAGGTGTCTGGCAAACAGGTTAACCGATCTGCCGATTAGGTAGGTGCCTCCTGCCTACCTACGTGCAGGGACTGGCGGAAAGCAGGTATTCCTAGTCGATACCAAAACGTTAAGTACCAATGAAGCTGGAGATTCAGATATTGTCCCTAACTGGGGAGAGCTCACTCTGACCCCAAGGCAGAGTAGGCGGTCTGAGCCCAGCCTGCCAGGAAGCCAAACGGTGGCCAGGAAGCCAGCTGGGGCTCTTGTGAGGTCGCTGAGGGGGGTGTGGGGGTGAAACCGCCACCTCGCCTGGGGACCGCTTAGTGGCACATCCAGGGGTCGCCAAAGAGAGAACCAAGCCTCATTTGTGATTTTTTTTTTTTTTTGTATTCTCAAATGCCTCTGGCACATCCCTACAAGAAGAGAAAGAAAAAGAGAGAGGAGAGCGCAGAAAGGCAGGAAAAGGTCCTGAGAAATGATGGGCGCTTGAACTTGGGGTCCCGGGAAGACAAGCGTCCTTTCGCAGCGGCCTGGGGCCCGCGGGCGGAGCGGGGGCGAGCCCTCCGAGGGCTGCCCGGGCGGCCGCGGCATTCCCATGTCGTCAGGGGTGACGAGGTGACGACTCGGGGCATTGTGGCCCTTGTTTTTCACACAAGAATCCCGCTCCCAGCGGCTCCCTTGAAAGCCTCCCCGGCCCAGCCGAGCGCAGGGCGCCCGCGCCCGCCGCCGAGCAGACGGCGCGCCGCGGTAATTGGGCACAGGGGCCTTTTTCAGAGTCGCTCAGTCGGTAAATGAAACGTCAGCTCCCCTGTGATCCCGCGTGTGTGGGGCGGCGGGGGCCGCCGAGCCGGGGCGCGGGGCGGCCGGCAGCCGCTGCTCTTTCACAGCCCCGGGCCCTGCTCGGTCTCCATCCCCTCCCTGTCCCGGGCATCCCTGGTGCCACCCGAGCGACCCGCACCAGAGGCCCCCTCCGCCTCCTGCCCTGATGCAACTAGCTTGAAACTCACACCGATCAAGATGAAATTATGGAGGAGAACGTGAAATGGTCTTCTAGATAGACCCAAGAGATAACTACATTTACCTTGATCATTATGAGTCAGCCTTTTATTTAGTGTGTGCCTCAAAGGGGAATTTCACCCGATGCAGTTAGATAGGAACTCCTTTCCCTGAGGCATTTAATCTGAAGCTACCTGAGCAGGAGCACAGTGATCTGTGCAAGACTTTGGTGGCCTTAGATGGCTTCTCCTAGTTCAGGGATTAGTAAATTGCCAACTCCTTCCCCCACTGATTCTTGGAATTGCCACTGAAATATATGGGTTCCTTCACCATGGCCCTTGTTCTTCCGAGACAGAGAGTGAGTTCTGGAGAAAGACTTGAGGTTCTTGTTCCTCTCAGCACCACTCCTGCTTCCTGGCTAATGGAATCGCTGCTAGTTGCTGTGGGAAAGCTGGATTTCTCAACCTAGGTGATGACCCCAGGAATCTGCAGGCTGCAGGCCCAGGTAATTCTTTGCTGACACCCAAATGGAGAGTCTCTGCAGACCCTCTGTACTGCTAATAACAAGCAGGAGTAATGCCACTTGCTTCATGCTTTATAATTATCTTATTTACTCCTCACAACAGCCTATTTTATGGATGATTAAACAGGCTTAGGAAGGTTCAGAAACTGCCCAACCACACCATTGTAAGTGGCTGACCCATCTGGCTTCAATGCTCTTAAGAGTTCCTCACTCCTGGGCTAGAGTCCGATCAATATTGAGCAGCAGAGGACAGAAAAGCAGTAGAACAGCAAGAAGGCATTTTTCCTTTTTGTTTGAGAAATCTGGTGTTTAGAAGAGACATTTTCTTTCTCCTAGAAGGGCCCTGCATTAATTTTACCTCTGAGGAATTTCCTCCCAGGCTCAAGATTTCAACATCAGAGAAACTCAAATACTCACAAGGACCAGACCCAACTGTCATTCCTCACTCATCAGATGTTAGGGTCTGTAAACAAGTCAAGAAGGCGCCTGGCAAAATGCCAGAGGGAGTGGTTTGTGAAGTAATGCCAGCCAGCTATTAAGTGTGGAGATTCCTTATTGGTTGACTGCTGTATCTAGTTTATGCTAATTAAGATAAGCTGTGTGGAATGTATAAATACCGCTCCTGTCCTACAATAAACGGCTTCCACTCCTGCCGGGCTTTGGCAATCAGACTCAGATTCTGGGTGAAACTTCTGATGTGGGAAAGGTTAAAAATGCAATATGGCCCCACAATTCAAACTTGCAGTAGTTTTGAGAGCAAAAAACAATTAGATGTAGATACTAAATTAATATTAATGAAAATGAGGTGGTAGTAAAAAGGAGAGAACCAAGTGATGCCCTTATTACTGCCTAAGGATAGCTTTATGTTTTTGAATATATGACTTGACATTCATTATTTTGCATAGACCATAAAGTGAAGCCTGGTGTTGTCTTCAGGGTCGGGTGCCATGAGAACATCTTTGAGATGGAGTTGTTGTATTTGCAATGTCTTCTGACACTTTCAGAAACTAGACTTCTTTCAGGAAAGTCAAAGAAGAATCACTTTATAGAGAATTTAATTTGAGAAAGAGCCCCTTGTAACTGGAAGAAACTTACACAAATATTTTCACAAGGTTAGAATCATTTATTTACTAGCGCAACTTTGGTTTAAGCTATTATGTCAGTGGAATGCCATTTGGTACGATTTTTTCATTTATTTCAAAACCAAGTCTAGGGAAGACAAATCAAGAGTCTGATTATGTTTCTCCATATATGAAAGAATAATAATAACATTGAAAAGCCTTATCTTGGACAAGCATAAGGCCAACAGAAGCACTGTCACTCTCTAGTGGCATTTGCGTAGGGTTGGTTGATTGTGGTTAAGAGCTAGGAACTGAGAACTGCCAAGCTTTAATAAAACTCCTCTCTGACCTCAGTCTTGCAAAAGAAAATTGATGCACTGGCTCCAGAGGGCCAAGCACAAGAAGAAAGCTACTGACCTTTGCCTCCTCCTGCCAGTAAACTCTCTAGCCATTCACATCTTAGTACAAATTTTGTTCTTTTTAAAATGGTGGGTGAAATCAACACATTTTCTCAGTTTATTCTCTTACAAATCACCATATGTCATCCAAGAGACAGTTTTTTTCTGGTCCACAACTTCTCAGAAAACTTCTATTTTGATCACTGCAAGCTTTGATAAGATGGAGCAAGAGATGAAAATACGAATAATTCTGGTTATATGTTTCTGGATTTCTGTACATAGAGTCTCAGATTGGGATGGGGAATTGATGGCAAGAAAATTTGAGCTTCAAAAGTAAAGTACTGAAAACACTTGGTAGTCAATGGAATGGGAAAATAAGATTTCAGCAAATGGAGAAGGAGCACAGGAAGGGAATCTAGAATTGGACAAAATTTGCTTTATGGTTTAATTAAGACTCAGTCCTGGGAATGGGCAGCTACCTCATACTCTCACCACAGGACATGGCTTACTCTTGGTAGGAAGGCTCCTGTGGACCATAACAGCACTATTTAGATAGAAATAGGGACTCCTGACTTACTATTGCAGGTTATTATTGAGATATTACAGTTGTCAAATAATTAAGACACTGCATTGGAAATTGTAACTATCCAACTTTCCTGGGTTCCTGGGCTCTCTATATCCCTAGGTATATCTGTTTATTTTTTGCTTCAATAGGGAGGCCATTTTAAGCCACATTAACTGGAAGACTTAGGCTTTTATTTCTTGACAATTACAGAGTAATTACCTTGAATTTAAAAATTTTGGTTAAATATATACAATATTATAAAATTTACTATTTTACCCATTTTAAGTGTATGGTTCAGTGGCATGAAATGCAGTTCCCAACATCACCACTATATAGCACCAGAATGTTTGCATCTTCCCATACAGAAACTCTACCCATTAAACAACTCTCTCCTCCCTGCAGGCCCCGATAACCATTGTTCTACCTTCTTTCTGATAGCATTTGACTCTGTTAGGTATCTTATACAAGTGGAATCATACGATATTTGTCATTTTGGGAGTGGCTTGTTTCATTGGGCATGATGTCTTAGACATTTTTCCATGTCATAGAATGTTATGGTTTGGATCTTCTAGGTGCTCCAAAGGCTATGTGTTGAAAGATTGGTTGCTAGCCTGTAATGCTATTGGGAGGAGGGTGGAACTTTTAGGAGAGAGAGACCCTAACAGAGGGATGTTAGGTCATTGAGTCTGTATTGGTGAAGGGATGTTGAGACTTCGCCCCTCTTCTGTGTCTCTTTTGCTTCCTGACTGCTATAAGGTAAGCACCTTGCACTCTCTGCCATGATATACTGCCTCACCACAGGCCCAAACGTAACAAGGCCAATTGCCGAGGGACTGAAACCTCTGAAGCAATAATCCAAAATAAGTCCTCCTTATAAATTGATTGTGTTAGGTATTTTAGTAAAACAACGGAGAGCTGACTGACATGCAGCATGCATTAGAATTTCAATTCTTTAAAAGGCTGAATCATATTCCATTGTATATATTTACCACATTTTGTTTATCCATTTACCCACTGATGAAAACAATTACTTTTTAATAAGCACACCAGTATTTAAAAATGATGCTGTTCTTCAGAAAAGAACACTTGGGAAGTTATAAACTTACTCAATGATGACTTCTTCTGTCATGGGCTGAACTGGGTTCCCTCCAAATTAGTCCTAATCCTAGTGCCTCAGAATGGGACTGCTTTGGAGATTGTTTCTGCAAAAAGGTGATTATGGTAACAGGAGGCCTAATCCAAATTGACTGGTATCCTTATAAGAAGAGGAAATTTGGACAAATACAAAGTGTTATGGCTTAAATATGAGGTGTTCCCTAAAAGCTCATGTGTGAGACAATGTGAGAGATAATGTAAAAGAGGTTTGAGGTAAAATTATTGGGTTATAAGAGCCTTAACTTAATCAGTGCATTAATCCACTGATAGGGATTAACTTGGTGGTACCTGTGGGCAGAAAGGGTGTGGCTGGAGGAAATGGGTCATTGAGGCATGTCTTTGGTGTATATATATATTATATATATGTATATATATAAATATATATATATATATATTTCCTGATTGTCATGTCCTGAGCTGCTTTCCTCAGTCACACCCTTATCTTAATGTTCTGCCTCAGGTCCAGAGCCAGCCATCTATGGACTGAGACTTCTCAAACTGTGAGTCCCAAATACACTTTCCTCCTCTAAAATTGTTCTTGTCAGGTCTCTTGATTACAGTAGCGCAAAAGCTAACTAAGAGTCACTTGGGGTACACAGAAAAAAGGCACAACAAGTGGCCACCTGCTAGCCAAGGAGGGAAGCCTCAGGAGATGAGGGCAAGTCCTAGGAAAGTAGGCTTTTGAGTCATGAGGGAAAAGGACTGACTCAGAATTGGGGACCTGGAGCCATTCTGTGCACTTGGCTTGGTGGAGAATAAACACTTGTCAGGCACTATTCAGAGAAGCTTTCAACTGCGTTACCTTGTAAAGTTATTTTAGAAATCAAGAAGGGGCTGGAATAGGAATTATGGTCACTGTCATGATTGCATCCATCTCTGTCTTTATCAAGGTCCTTGTGTTCAGATTTCCCCCTGGAAAAAATTTCAAAAATGACACAAACTTGGAATATCATTTATTTTATTTTTGATAGTCCTATTTCTCCCTGGGCTGAACTCCTTAAGGACAGGGTCTGAGACTTCATCATCATTACAAATCCAGCACAGCACTGGTCACCTAGTAGCCACTCTATATGTTGAATGAATGGCCTGTAGCCCTGCATTTGTTTTCAATTTCTGTGAACTCCAGTGTCTACCATGCTCTGTTGTGTTCCCATTTCAGTTGATTTTTTTTTTCTCATTCTGTAATCCTAGTGTCAAAAATCAGATTTAGGGTAAAATTTTCTCTCTATCTAGAATAACTTCTATCTTCACTGCAGTTCTGAACATAGAAGGTGGATTGGGGGCTACTAAAAGTAAAGGGATGCTGTATAAGCCTGGGTTTGAGTCTGTTAGAAATGGACTTGGACTGAAGCTTCCTGCCCTCCCCTGTGGACCACCTCTCAGGGGTCATGGAATGGAATCGTAGCCAAAGGAACCCATGAATTATACTTCCCTTAATTTTTTTTATGTCAACTTACTTTAAAGTACCCCTTTAGACGTCTTTCTGGTAGTTAATAAAATCAGATTAATGCAAGAGAACTCTTTTTTATAAGACAAAGCAAACCTAGTGCATGATAACAATTGCTTTCATCAAAAATAGACACATGGGGCTGGAGTTGTAGCTCAGTGGTGAAGCACTTGCCTAGCATGCGTGAGGCACTGGGTTCAATTCTCAGCACCACGTAAAAATCAATAAATAAAACAAAGGTATTGTATCCATCTAAAACTAAAAAAATATTTAGAACAAAAACATACATCATACATAACTATTATCTGGGCGGTGGGGCAGAGACACAAGAATGATAACCCTACTTAGTTAAAGAAGTTTGAGTTCTTCATCCTTAGGAAAATGCCTTTCCAAGGAGCCCTCTATTCCAGCCGTCTCCAGTGCAATCTAGCAGGTGGGGACACTCCCTTTGTGGATACCAACGCACCTGAACTTAGTTAGCTGTGAGGCTTGTTTGAGAATAAGCTTTCTTTTTTGAAGAACGAAGAATGCAATATGTAGTTTACCTTTTATTTTTCCTCAGTAGCTATTTTATTCTTTATTAATGCCAAGAGAAAGGGCCTAGAAGAGCCCTTGATATGTGGATGTCTAATTAGGAAACTTGCAAAGCCAACACTGTGGAAAACACATTTTCTTTTAAAAGAAAGCGGGGGGGGGGGAATATTTAACATTAGGCTATTCAAGAAGTCCTCCAGTAAAATAAACTTATTTGTACATTCCACTTAAGCTAGGCTAAGCCTGTTGCTCTCAACCAGGAAGTCAAATGTTTACATTCTCATTTAGAATGAGAAGTGTCTACCCCCAATTTACCTGACAGCTCCTTGCAGTGGCTTTGGCTGACTTTTCCAGGTGAACCAAACAACTCAGTGCTATGATTTGTCCCCATCAAAGCTCATGTTGAAAGTTTTTCAATGAGGCAGAGTTGGGTGGGAGGTGTTTGGGTAGAGATTCATGCCCTGACTCGGGAGCAATTGAGTTCTTGCATTCTCAAAGGACTAGACTGTTTACTCCAAGAGCAGGTTGTTATAAAGCAGGGTTACCCTGTTTTGTCTCTTCCGTGTAGGCCCACGCACTACTCTCACACACTCCCTGCAAGCATGTGGTATTTATTCACACTGTTATTGTGTTAGCTTGGATACCCTGAAGGAAGAGCTGATACCAGGATGTGTGTGCATGGTAGATTATTTGGGAGGTGACTCTGGAGAGGAGGAAAAAGAGTAAGATAGCAAAAGGGGAAAATACTACTGTGGGAATAAGGGATTGATTCTGCTGGGGCCACCTGAGAAGCTCACTTAATGTCTTTTGGAACTGCCCTACTGAGACGGAGGGAGCAGGTTCAGGAGGTCATCAGCTCCTTCCCATCCTCAGTAGCATTAACTTCCTGATCCATGCAAATGCCTGGAACAATACAGCCCTTTTCAGAATCCGTAGTACTTTAGGGTAGAAAACAAAAACATGTGATGTTATTAGTTTTCTTTGTTATAGAATAAATCACCCAAAATTTTATGGCTTAAAACCATAAATATTTTATTATTTGATACTGAATGGTTTGGATCTAAAATTTTCTCCAAAGACCCAGGTGTTGAAGGTTTGTCCCCAGTGCAGCAATCTTCAGAGGTGGGGCTTTTGAAAAGTGGTTGATTCATGAGGGCCTCATTAATGGATTAAACTAAAGATGGATTCATTGCTGACTGGACTATTTGGGAGGTAGTG